ATCTTACTGATTTTGAGTTAATTAGTAACCCGGTGCCGTTAGAAAAAAAAAACCTAAATTATTCTCAAATTAAAGTTCAATTAAAACATAGAAACACTAAATAACTTTGTAGCATAAAGTAATTTTCACTTCTTGGAAGAATCTAGAAATGTTTTGTTAAATTAATTGTATATTTTACTGGAATCCAAGTGTTTAAATAGGTTATCTTTACTTATAGGTTCTGCTATGCCTCTGGCTAGTCGTAAAAGGCGATCACGTCTACTTGCAGGCTAATCCAAGTCAATCTTATTCGTTAACACTAGAAATTGTTAATTGTTTCGAAGCCTTGTTATCTAAGTGGACACATGAATGACTGTCGAACAAGAGGTTTATTATTTCATTACCATATCTTGGAAAGATATTATTGAGCTTCTCGGTTTTTCTATAAGCAGGCAATACTTTGTAGTAATAGTTCCGAGAGTTCGGATTTGTGTCCGACGGCGTATGATATAGAACTTATAGCATAACTACTAGTGAGAGTATTGGGTGATTAATTTTAATTTATGAATCTATTCCCACCCCTTTAGTTGTATTGTTATATAAAGTTTAACTCTACGTCATCATTTCACCTGCTGGTTACATATATAAAAGAAATCTGTTTTATTTTAAAAAATGTAACTACTGTGTACTGTTCGTACGTGCGTCTCTACACACTAACATCTTAGCAGAATACTTGTATAAAAATTATAATTTGGAAAATAAACTTAAAAGTTACGTTTTTCCTGTACCGATAAAAAAGGAAAAAACCAAATCGGATTTTTCCTTTAACTTTGGCGTAGCACCAAATAACAATAGTCATCTCTAAGTGCCTACTGCCTACACTCATCATTCAAACTTTGTCTTATTTATAATTCCAAAGAAAAAAATAAAAATCGTCACTTCAAGAACATCACTTCTATTGTTTATTGTTGTTTAATTATTAAACTATATAATATATAGGTATGTTGTAAACAAATTCTGATTATTAGTGATGATATAGAAAACTTTGAAATAAGATTTTTCCGTGAATGGAACAAAATAGCCTCATATCCGAAAGTCGTACTCAACTAATACGTAAATTCTATCACAAGTAGCCATAAAAGATTAATAAGATCATGAAAGCATTCCTTTAATCCCTAGCGACCAAAGGGCCGACAACACTAGTGGTGTAGCGTTTGTCCATGGGCGACGCCGATTGCTAAACCACCAGGTGATCCGTCAGCACGTTTGCTGCCCAATCCCATGAAAAATACTTGCGTTTTGGATACATATAGGTAGAACATTTACTTTTGAAAGGTGCATATCTATTCTGTTTTAATGTTCTATTCTATTCAATATAATCTTACCCGCATCGAAGTACCTACCAGCAGCCTGTCACTAATACATATTACCTTTGAATAAATAACCCAGTATTATTATGAAATATCCTCCACTGAATCTCTATAAAATAAAATACTTTATTGTCTTGTGAAATAGGACTTCTAATTGGTACTTAAATAACTATGTAAGTAGGTAATTCTACTTTGACAGAAGGTCATTAACTCGATACATCGTTTGGAATTAAATTATAGGAGTTAATATGGGGCACACATAAACCGGTACAGCATATTTGAGATTGATGGTAACTAAAGCATGTTTACAAACAAGCGGCCACGCGCCAACGGCCCCACAACCAACAGAACAGCTAAGTAAGACTGAGAGAAAGGCGCTTTCTCGCAGTTATATCCCGCACTTAGTAGACCACTCAATTACCTATTATATCTACTGCATTTTATCAAGAGATAAAACTAACACAGATCGAGAACGAGACAGACATTATAAAATATTTCAAGTAAAGCTGATGATCGGTATTTGGTTGATTCCATCCTATTTCAACCATTCCATTAAAGTGATATCATTTATAAATAACAGGTTATAAAGAATTTAAAATTTAGGAGAATAAAGCTCGGACTCCAGTCACGATGGTAACGGGCCGCCAGTAGGTAAACCTACACCTTACGTGTTTAACATTTAGATATTTGAAGAAAATAACGGAAATTGTCATACCGGTGGGGGTTCCGACGTGCTATACACTTCTGATGGTGGGTATTCCGGTTTCATGGTGATGGTTGCCATGGAGTCTGGTTGGTGCTCCTTTTCCATCACGAGATTTAATCTTCACAAAAAAAAAGAAGAGCCCTGGTTTTATCGCGCGCGTAATGTTTGACGTTCGATGTAGAAGTGCGCGCGAGTGAACGGCTCTCCACGGCGTAGGCGCAGTCGTCGATTCAAGCGTGGTGGGGTCGCGCGACACTGCCATAAACGCATTCACTTATGACAATAGAATTTTAGGAGTGTTTGCTAGACTTCAATGAAGATACATCTCATCTCTTCAAATCTACTAAATTGAGTTAAGATTTCTCCAAAAAAAAAAATGATTTACTGAAATACCTACCGCGCATGGGTACCGCAATGAATTTCAAACGAAAGCAGGTCCTGAGGATTAAAAAATAAATTAATTGATGACACTATATGCCTACTAATTATAAAAAATTGTATTCTAGGTAGCCAGCCAGGTAGGTACTTACATTAAGTAGATAAATAATTATAAGCTGTTTCCTTCTCGGTTTGTTTCTCTGTTTCCGTCTCCATCCTTTTACCATTTACATATCGACATACCTAATGAATCCAATCTTATATTTTACACAAAAGCTCGAGTCTCAGTACTGTGTTGTATAAGGAAAGGTAGTCAATTATATATCTACTTATACCTACTCCATTCTCTCCAATAAAGGAGTATAACTATAAATAGAAAATCAAAAAAAATATTCACATACATTTTTTGATTATTTTGTTTTACTTTGAATAGCCGACTCATTCAGTACCTACCTACAAATACACTTATTTCACTTATTAAGGTAAATATCTGCCGATACGGAGCCGCAGAGAACCTAACAGGTTACCGGGGCTCCATTTCGAAGTGCATGAGTAGGAACGGGGTGGTTTTTAGTCAGTTAGAGTCGGACACTCCCTCACCTCACCTAGGCAGGAGAAGTCATTCGATGCTTTTCCCCCTTAAAAAAAGGTAAATATTTACAAATATATCTATGTATGTAGGTATATTTCGTTACCGTTAAATAATTCCATAAAAAGTTTAATGATATAATAATTACTGAATAAATAAAAGTCTTACAACATCCTATTTAAGTTTCAGCTGGTAAATACGACACATAACCTACAAACGCACGTCTCGGTGAAATTGTCGAATCTAATCAAAACTTAAGCAAGTAAAAGATGTTAACTACTGCGAATTTATGAGCAAAGCAATAAGAAATTATGTCAATTAATATTTTCGACAATAAAATCGCATTTTTACGGAGCTATGTAGGTGTTCTAAACACAAAACTCATTAAAAATCCACCAAGGCAGTTAAACATCATCAAACTGGTGGTTTCTTGTAATAAGATTTTCTTTTTTTGAACTTGAACTACGACCGGTGAATGTCTATTTTATTAGATAGGTCTGAAAGGTACCTACTGTTTATTATCACTATTGGTGGTATATTGAACATAGTTGCTGTACGCAACTTGAATAGGTTAGGAGAATACCTATCAACCGCTACCGCCACTTACAGATTATTAGGGTCAAATAGTGATCTAGGTATAATGTACCTAATTATTATATTTTCGGCTTACTCACTTAACTGTTTTGACAAACGTTGCCTCTAGCATGGCTTGAAACTAGTTGAGTTCCTCGTCACAGTTACGTGATTAAACCGAAAATATAATAATTAATTTTGTATGTTTCACGGTAGTTTTAATATAAACCTAGGTTTTAATATAATGTCAATACCTATGTTTCGTCTGGTAAATGGTAATTGAAAGATCCGGATACCTAACCCGTTTGACTGCGCAATGATTTTCTGGGACGACGCCTATCCAAAAATGTTCGCTACCTAGGTAATTAATTAATTATATCTATAATTGCTATTATAAGACATATTGAATTAATTAAAAGTAACGGTTTAGTCACGTATATATACTGAAAAAAGCACCACTACTTTCGAGTCGCCGCGACCGCACACGCTACTAAAGAGGAAGTGTTTATCTATGACTCGAAACTAGTAGAGTAACTTGCAACGGAAACTCCGACGAGTGTGCCGTACCGACGTGTATGCCGACGAGTTATCGTGACACCCTCGAAACCTTAATTTAATCTCACAAATATGACAGTTGTGATATGGTGAGGAGACCGCCGAGAGATAAAAGATTTAAGTTTTATCAGAAAGCGCTGATGCCGTCTACCGAACGTTCATACATTCGGTTATCCACTTCGCTAGTATTTTATCGGAGTAGCGAGTAATATAGTAGCAAAATATATCTAAACACCAAATGTTTAACTGAGTAATTTAGTAAAGTGCGAACGATTTTGTAGTAGCGAGAGAAAGCTACTAAATTACTCGCTACTCGACTTAAATACTAGCATAGTGCGAACAAGGCATTAGTTTGGCTCCTAGCGAGTAGAGTTGGTGATTTGATGACCAATGTGTTCCACTTTGCATAGGCAAATTAAACCTAGAGACCGCCCTAGGCAAGCGTCTCTTGCGGCTCTTATTTTTTTGGCGCCGCGGTCATTCTACGGGCAGTTGGGTAGACGCCCTTCTATAACCTGGCGTCTGAGCACTTGCGTAGTTTGCCATATAATACGGCACTGCTACTTTGCCGTCATCAAATAGTTGAGAAATTTTTTTACGTACAATGCATAAAATTCGAAAGTAGTTTAAAAACTAAAAATCCTCATTTTAATCATTTGTCCTCACCACCATTGACTATACGATTGACGCGTTGGTTAGTCATACGGTGGTTGCGTGACTGAAAGACTTGTATCTATGATCAGGAACAAAATCATTAAAAAAAATCTGTCGACAATCAATGTCATGTCAAACCAAAAATTGAATTAAGCAGTGTCACCGTCACTGTCATTGTGTCATCTCACATCACATTCACATCTGTCAGTGTCACTGTCACTGTCAAATGGATTGGGGTGAGCAAATGGTCTCTTCTTATTTGTAATTTACAACAAGAAATCTCAATAATTTGCATTTGGTGCAATTTAAAAGCAATTACTATTAATAATATAAACAATGGCAAACTCTGGAAAAGGCACTTTTCAACCGGTAAGTTGAACACTGAACAGAGAGGTTATATTATTAACATTGGTGTGTTTCAAATGTTAACTTACTGCTTTCAGGACTCAGATGTTCACATTTCGTTTGAAGATCAGCAGAAAATAAATAAATTCGCACGTTTAAATGCCAAGGTAGATGACTTTAAAGATGAATTGAAAGTTAAACAGAACGATATGAAAAATTTAGAAGAAGCTGTGGAAGAACTTAGTCTTGCAGATGATACTGATAAAATACCTTACCTCATTGGTGAAGTATTCATTTGTCAAGGACTCGAAGACACTTTGGTATGTAAGAAAATTAAGGTTTAATGTTATATGTTAAGTATAGATACTTATATTTCTTCATAGATTATTTCTGTTAATATAGCTAACACATTTCCCCTGGAAAATAGTAATTGCACATTAACTCGTCGAGTACCGGTTTTGCAGACACAATTATAGAACAATAGGTTGCGGTCACCGGTGACCGCTTGGTGTTTGACAGTTTAAATTAACAGAAACTCTGTCACTGGCCATTATGAGACAAACCTATATGGGTCTTATTTTCAACATCCTCGGATATTATATCTTCTTTGCCTTTAACCGTATGTGATATGGAAAGTTTTAGGTTCATTTGTAAGCAAGTACAAAGGCTAATCATATCGCCGGCCCCGGGCAATAAAGTGGTAATATCAAAAGTCTAATTTTACAGGAAAAATAAAAGAAGCTAATTTGTTTATAGTGCAGCGCACAGTCATGCAAAACAGGCGTTCAAAATGTCACAAAAAAGCTAATTTTTTTATCAATTTAACCTTTTAAAAATAATTGTAATAATATAATTACTTAATGAAATAATTGAAAATATGTATAATACTAATTATACATAATACTGTTTCAATTGTAACATCATTAATGACTTTATAAACACAAAGACAACTGAGATTCTGGAATGTAAAAATAGAATACGACATAATTTCGACTTTGAATCTTGATCGTACCAGCCGATTACCACCTTCTTCAGGAATTTTTCTAGCCGAAGTTTAGGTGTATCTTTCACTAATCACTATTTTAGAATCCTATCAATGAACCATATGTATGTGTATCCAATGTAACAAACCGTCCTTATAATGAAATTTATTTTTATTTTTAATCATTTTAGACAAAATTTTAATAAGTTAGAGATAATTTCGTTTAATAAAGTGTTAAATGATATTTGCCATCTATTAAAAGAAAAACAGTTTATATCTCAAATGGTTTATTAAATATTAAACTTAAAAAAATCACATAAAACCCTTAACAACAAAAGTACTATACTTACTAGTCTAATTCGAATAAAATCACATATATTTTTTATTGAGTATTAAACTTTGGAAGCAATCACAAAAAAATACTTCAAAAAGATAAAGATACATTCCTACAGTAGTTTGCATTAAATCACATATTTTTTCTAAGTGTTGTACTTTGGTAACAAAAATAAAATGGTAAACGCTTAAAAAGAAAAAAATATTATGTTACTTTAATCTGAATCATTGCTTTCAGTATCAATTTCTTCTTCAGTGTTCCCAACACAACGTAAATTATTATAAAATGTATGATAATGTTTCGGGATTGCTTCAGATTTGCAGAGACTCATCAAATCATCATACAGTGGTTTTGGTAAGGCGATTGGCTCCCTGTACAAATTACGCAGTTCATCTCCTGAAAGATCGGTCACTGGCATCTTCTTGGATCTTCCTCTTGAAGACCTGGTGTTTGATGCAGTATTTAGAGAAATATACTCATCGTCAAAGTCATACTTTAAATAAATAATATCTGGATGCGCTTCAGTAATTTTGATTTCGTGAATCTTTGTCCACATAACTTTTTCATTGGTTTGGTCTGCCCGCAACCAGTGTCTTTTGTCCATTATCTCCTTTAAATCAAAAAAATTATGCTGTTCCATTTCTGTAAGATGAAATTTTTCACCATTGATCTTGGCATTCATGATTATGCCATACATTTGATCAGGAGTATAAATTGTGTGGTTCTTTTTTGCGCGTTCGATAAGAGAGTGCATCGAATCTCCTTCAGACTGGCTATGACCAGTTTCAAAATACCTATGTATTATGTTAACTCCATACTTTTTGGACAAACATAAATAAAGAGCATAGATAATCCTATTTTTATTCTGCCCAGCACAACCATCGGAATAAAATATAAAATTCTTGATACCGCGTTGGCTCTCAGTTTCAATGAAATTTAGGACGCAACTGCCAATTTCATTAGCACCCCTTTTGGCCACTTGATAGTGCCAAAGATAGCAGTAACCTCTTCCACTTAATGAGTTGTAAATTGTGAAGTTATATATAGGATACATTCGCTTGTAATGAAAGATTCCTACCTCTGATTGAGGAATCGTCAAGACTTTTTCCAGATCATAAATAGCGACGACAGTAGTTGTAGAATCGGCTTCTATTTTATCTTTAGTTTTGAGTTCACGAACACTCTCCTTGTTTCTAATATGTTTTGTGTAAGCTTCTTGGAGTTGGTCTTTTCTTTCATCATCAGCTTGACGATACAATGTACATTGGGCACACATATCTTTTTTGGGTTTGTGAAAACAATAATTGAATTTTGTATTGAACACTGTTTCATACTGGCGTTTAGTGGCCATCTTTACATCATTCGGATAATTTACACTCTTAAACCAGTCATCGGAATACAGCCTGTACATTTTGGAAATGTTCAGTGTTTCTCCTAGATATAACTTTTTAGTATCTCTTCTGACATAATGTGATTCTTTAACGGGAAATTGTTTTATATGTGCAATAATACTTTGCTCGGTTGAAACACTCATTTTCCGTGGTCTATTTTCATGCTGACCCCTGTTATCTTTGACTACTTCAGACTTTCCTTTCTCTATTGCTGTATAAACTGTTTTTTCGCTTATGCTAAGTGTACTCAAAAAAAAATTTTTGCAAACGTTTATTGATTCAGATCCATTTATGTTGAAAAAATAGTTAATTGTTTGTGTTCGGTTTTTAGTTCTTACTAGTTGCATTTTTTTAATATCTTTAGTATTCACATGACGTAAGATATAGTGCCATTGATCCTCGTGATCACTAAGTTTCCAAAATTCGTCAAATATCGTCTGCCGAGATATTTGAGAAATCTTTTCACCACATTTCTTATTACATTTACAAGCGTCCTTCATCGTTTTAGAATCAATTTTTTTTTTCGAGTTACTACTAGTATAAGCTTGGCCTGAATTTTTTTGTTTTTTGTTCTTAACTTTTTCCCAATTTTCTTCGTGTCGCCTTTTTTTTCTTGTTAGTTCTTTGGTGGTTGAAGGTACTACAACGGATGGAACATTTTCTGTTGTTGTAGTTTGATTGCAATCATTAGATTCGATGTCAGCATTTTCTATCGTCGTGGATTGATTTTCAACTGAGAAATCTGCATCCAAGTTTACAATATTATTGAAATCATTAGATTCGATGGCAGTTTTGTCACATTGTAAAACCAAAATATGAGAATTATCACTATCGACCAGTGGTTCATACAATATATTTTGGTCTATTGTTAAATCTTGGTGGACGTTTTGTAGTGTTGTGTATTGTATATTTTCATTTCGGTATGTAGTTTGGTCGCACGTTTCTGCTACTTGGAGTACCAATGGTGCTTGTTGCATCGTTGTGTCTCTTAGCGTTGCAAGATCTGTCGACTCAGAAACGTTATATTCTATAGAGTTAGTGTCAAGATTCTCTTTGAATCTGCGTTTCCGATGACGAGGTGTGCCGAATACTAAAGTTGGAGAGGCTACAAAGTCAACATTATCGAATATAGTAGACTCATAGGAAATAGTAGAAGGTGATTGCAATAAATGTGGTTGTAAATCGAAATTGGGAGAAAGACATTCTAAAGTTGGGCTATGAGTTCCAGTGAGGTTTACATCTACACTCTTTGAAATGGTGACTTCTTCTGATTTTTCATAATCTCCGTTACATCGAAGATTTAAGGTATCTAAAACAAAACAAAAGAGTACTTACTAAAATATCGTAAAACAACAGAAGTTGTGACAGTTTTACCTGATACTCCCATACATTACATAGGTATATTCACCCAGCCACACACTCATAGGTATACACACACTCACAAACACACACATACACACATATGCACACACGCACACATACATACCCACACAGATAATTACACACAAAGGCACACATATTATGTAGATACATACACACACAATTGAAATACCTACTAAGAAGAGTTAAAGAATGTTAAGAAAAATAAATCTCAAAACAATACATTTATAAGTTGGTAGGTAGGTATCTTAAAGTAAACTGGTAACTAGGTACTTAATTTGACTGTATGAATAAACTACGATGACATTGTATGTGTTCCTCCACCTACCAAGTGGCTGAATGTGGTGCAAATTCAACCGCTTAGTAGGTGGAGGGACACATGCAATGTTATCGTAGTCCATTTCTAGTAGTAGGTATTTCTATTTTCATTTTAAATCAACAAGAGATCTGCCACAGCTTTCCTAATGATTCATTCATCATTACCAATTTAGCCTATCGTCGTCGTCGAATAAAGGTTTAGTTCAAATTAAACGGTCAAACACCGCGAGGACACTGGTGACCGCAACCTATTGTAAAAGAGTTAAGTACCTACTTAACTCGTTGACTATCGTCATTTTATAGACACAATTATAGAACAATAGATTGCGGTCACTGGTGACCGCTCGGTGTTTGACAGTTTAATATTGGTTTGATAGATTTATTAGGATTTTAAAAGAGGCAAATATATTCAACTAACAGAAACACGACAATAGGTGAGTAGGTAGGTAGATATTACAAAAATAATAATAATCGATATCATACATAATCATCACACTGATTAAACACTTACCTTCAACCATGGATAACATTCTCCGTGCTCGAGATTTTGCTGGTTGTCTTGACATTTTAAAAATACACACAACTTACAGTTCTAAGGATTATTAGGTTTAGTACCTATACTCGTGAGGTATAATTAAGTATACTCGTAAAATTAGTAGCGCAAGACGTCACACGCTGCACTGACACCGCCGGCCGAATTGAGTTATTATTTGTACGATTTGTTTACCTAATCATGATGCTAGAAAGCCTGCGGTAATCATTTATGCGTAGGAGTGAAAGAGATGGCATTCAGCGTAACACGACAATACGACGCCGGGGTTACAGTACATTTCCGAGAAGAAAGACGTAATAGCTTGTACTGAATAAAATCTCTTGTGATTTCTTCGTAATAAGTGTTTGCAGTTTAATGATATAATACATTGATTTCTAAAAAAGTCGTTAAATTTATTACTGTTACTCTTTGTTTAGAAATTAAGTGTAAAGATAATTACCGGTGTTTTGTGTTAAGATTGTTATAGTATTACAATAATACATTTTTAGTCGTAAGAGATTTTTCCATTCAATAAAGATGTTTTTGGTATCTATTTTAAAGAAATGTTAATGAAAAAAAATCGAAAAAAATTAGAGTGATAGATTGACACCCAGAGAAGCCAAAAATCAAATAACATTAAAAAGAGCGTAACCGGCGTTTACCGCTTTATTGCACGGGGCCAGCGATATCCATTAAAACCTGTTTATATATTTTTTCAGAAATCATTAGAAGATGCCAAAACCCGGAAAGTAAATGAAATAAGTGAGCTTGAGGCCAAATGCGATGAGTTGAAATCTCAAATGGCTGAATTAAAAGCCCACTTGTATGGAAAATTTGGCAGTCACATCAATTTGGAGAATGAGGAAGATTAATATTAGTTCATTTTGGTTGCTTTGTATTTGAATAAAAAAATACTGCACATAATACAAATATTTAATAAGTCAGTATTAACATTTTAAAGATAGTCCAGCTGCTTAAGATATTTAAATATCACAAACAATAATTATGTAATCTGGCTTTGCCTGGCTTGTCACATGTTGCTACATAGTTCTTTGAAACAAAGCCCTCTAACTGTATAATAATAAATATAACACTAAACATTGAAAATAAATAATAATAATTTTATTTTATAATACCCAGTATATTAAAGAATGTATAATAGTTCTTTTAAAATATATTTCGCTATAAATTAATATGACACCATGTATCCAAAAATCAATTACAAATTTTTAAGCTGAAAATGAAAGTTAACTTTTAGATTAACTATGAATAGAAGATGAATATGAAACATTTTGTTTCACAAAGAGAAAATATGATAAAATTAAAGCTAATTAATTAACTACACTTAAGTACATATTATTTCAAAATACCTATGATTACTAAATCACATTTAATGTGTATGTTTACATCACACAACCAAATACTAGTAGCCCAACTAAATGTTATAGTGTAACTTGTCACAATGCAACTCAATTCGAACTTAGTACTCATAGTTAAACTACTGCAATAATGTGAGACATTGATGAACTGATTGTGAGCAATCAACTAAGCAACATACAATAATAGTTTTCTAAAAACTTAATCTTTGGTGCCCACATTTATAGTAGATAACAATAATACCCTAGATCTATCTCAATACTTGAATATATCACATAATGACTAAAATGTAATACTAAATAGGAATCACAAATGAAATATAAATACATCAATAATAGTTTTAGAAGAACTAACATTAAATTAAATACAGCCAATATTAACTAGTAAGATATGATTAAATAGGTATAAAATTTTCCTAATGCAATGTTACTAAAATTGTACCATTGTCACTTGCAATATGTAACCTTTGTGTCATTAACTAAAGCACCATAAAACTAATGCCAAAAATGTGCATTATCTGTATAGCAAACAATGAAAAATGTTTTGATAAAGAAATATCTCAGGTTTCCAAATATTTCATACTAAATATTACTATTCTATTCGTAAGATATGAGACCATTATATCTGAACCAACGGCTGTTAATGTTATCTCATTAATTGCCGTACACCAGTGTGTTGAATGTTTATCTACACTCCACGTTGAAGACTGGTGCGTGAATTGGTATGTGAACTCTGATGCAAACTCTCCTCTTCATCTGTTTCTCGATCATTTGATATTTTAATTGCTTGATACCACTGGTTTGTTAGATCTGTCATTTGGCTTTTACAATCTTTTAGTTCCTGGAATTAGAAATATTAGGTATTGAGTGAATTTCTTCATTATCTTATCATAGACTATTATATAAAGCTGAACAGTTGGTTTGTTGGGATGGGAGGAGCTAATCTCAGGAACTAGTAGTCTGATTTGAAAAATCCTTTTGTGTTAGATAGTCAATTTCCATTTATCGAGGGAGGCTATAAAGCATCACGGTACAATCAATACGAGCCGAGCAGAGCGGGTAAAACCGCGCAGAAGTAGGTAATAATATTCGTAATCTTTACAGGTGTAAGGTAAGATGTCGTACATCATAATATTGTAAACATAATAACTATGTTTGTACCTAAACATTGAATGAAACATAACGATAAGGCAAGTAATTTTACAAGTTAAATCCAGATTATAAAAGCAACAATAGTAGGGATGTCTCAGTCTCATCTACTTAGAATTGCTATTAGTAGTAAATTGAATGCTCATGCTCCCTGAACTGTTTCTGCAATATATGAAGTAACATGACACGAAATAGTAGGTATTATAGTACACATTTTACCTGGTGCGTGAATCTTCTTGTGAAGAAAGGCGTCAAATACTTCATATCTAGCCTCACAAATCCTCTCAATCGCGTTGTATGAGAATAGTTTACCTGAAACAATATTTTTTTATTATGATACTACATATCATACATATTTAAAACTATATAGTGGCCCACCCTCATTTTTCTAATTTGTCTAGCATTACTTTATTGAAACTCTACTATATAATAATAATTGGCTTAGTAGGTATGATAATTTGTCCCAGCACTCTCAATAACTCGCTTTTTCGTAACCACCTAAACTTAGTCGGGTTACCACGGTCATTCATTTCCTAATGACTTTAATCGTATTATCTCATTAATTATCCAATGTAATTATTTAAATATTCCCATTAGAAAGAAAAAGGTCTGGCTGGGGTAACGTTACCCCAGCAGGAAATGTTTTTGTGAAATAATTAAAAAACTATAAGCGCAACAAATATAAAAATGTGCGCAACAATTACAGAAGCCGCACAACTAATTATCTATAAGATTCAAATGACCATTTTCGACAACATCTGGCCTGGGTAACTAACATCTATGGATAACATGTACTGTAATCACACATTTTTAATTACCTCTAGTTCTTCTTCAGTAATCTCAGACAAATGTTCGGAATCTATGGTTTGACCCCACTCTTTCGTTTTAGACAAGCTCACTTCCTTCTGCTTACGCTGCGATCTCGAGCGCTTCGCTTTCTTATTAGCCTGTAGGTACAATACATGGTTTGGTATATTGCAAGTTTAAAGTAGAAGAAACATATGTTTTTACATGTACGCATTGTTAATACTTACTCGCAAAAACTTTAATAAAGGCATTGTAGATCCACCAAAGAATAAAGTCGTGAATAAGACGATTATAAGGGTAGTAGTGATAATCACATGTCGAGTTTCATCAGAGAAACCCAAGTGAAGTGACAGAGCATATGAAATTGCTCCTCTCAGACCTGAAAAAAAAAACATTCATTATGAAGAGTCCCTCTGTGGTCTGTGACTCAAAACTAATAGAGCTTTTCTCAGTATATTTAAGTGTGTAACTCGTGATTTTTAGTTAATTCAGTATATCTCACGATAATTAGGTATTTTAAGAACATTTTTTAATATTATCATTATCATTTGATAGTAAAGTAATTCTACTAGTAAAGTAATAAAAAGTTTAGTAAGTCTACCCAAGTTTTATAGATACATTGACCTTGCAGGTATTATTTTGTCTTGAAAAAAGGTTTTTTATCAATATAGCAGTTAGTACTTCTTCATGTTTTTTATTATCAAAAGCACTTAAAACAACTTACCACTAAACCACATGATAAACATCATTTTCTTAGTTATCTTGTGTTCACGGAATTTATTGCAGAGTAAAGCGAGTGGGAAGATATTAGCAGCTCTGCCTACTAGACACATAACTATACTCCATACTACTAAGGCTGGCTCCACACGGTGACGAAAGCTGGAAAAGATATATTTTCTTCAATACATTCATAAGCATACATATTATGAATAAATAGACTAATTTACAGTATCTAATACTGAAGTAATAGTTAAGTGCCTTCTACCTTAATGTAACACACTAACCTGAATATGGCTAATCCTAAATAAGCAAAGACACAGGTCTCGGCAATGAAAGCCAATGTTCTCATAGTCTGCTGCATAGTAACCTGTGTCACTGTTGATAGGTTGAAATGTGTGTAGTGAGACATTACTACTCCACAAAATAGTATTGCCATGATTCCTGAAAATAAATGAGATAGGTATTAACCATAAGTTCTAAAATATGTTAAACATTACATGTATTGTACACAATATACATGTATTATAATTGAACAGTTTTAAATTACCTGATAAGTGAATTCCTTCCGCCAACACATAAGGTGCATAAGTAAACACTAACATCATGCCAAATTCAAGAGATGGATTTTTCCTTAGATCAACATGTTTCAATAGAAGTGCACTCACTAGTGCAAATAAGACTCCTATGCCAGCTGATGCAAAAAACATTAACCAGAATCTATTTATAGCTGAAAGAATTGCTTCCCCAGTGGACATAAGAGGATCATTAGAATCCAAAACTGCAGTGGTCAAAACAATAGCAATTGCATCATTTAGTATGCTTTCTCCAAATACCAACATGTTGAGCACTGGATCAACATCAAGAGCGTGGAATATTGCCACCGTTGCAACTGGGTCCACAGCAGATATCAGGGAACCAAAAGCAAATGATTCAACAAAACTTAATTTATACACAACTTGCGCTAATCCCAAAAGATATATTCCTGCACCAATTACAAAGGCTGATATTGCAGTTCCAACTATAGCAAACAATAAAATTGAGCCAATATTTTGAAAAAAGTTACCCTTATGTAAATTATAACCTGATTCAAAAATAATAGGAGGTAAAAGAACTAAAAAGAAGGCTGTAGGTGAAAATGCTTCTTCCTTTCTCCAGTTTGCAATATTTTTTATAGACATCAAATTGATAATCATTCCAATTAAAGCACCGAGAAACACTATTACTACACTCTCTGGAAGATATGAAAATCCAGTTTGGAGCATGAGATGAATCAACAGAATACCGAGTGCTAAAACACATAACACAAAGAAGATTGCCATAGAACTATTGTGTTCATCTTCAGCAGAACTTTTTTCAGGTAAGGGTGCTGCATCAGATGGGCTAACAACTGAAGCATTCGGACTTGACGAAGAAGATATATTTACTAAAACAACCGATAGGATAGAGTCATTCTTTTCTGTGACAGTATTTGCACTTTCAGTTGAGGAACTTGGTGTAGAATTTGTAATTGAACTATTCAAGGTTGATTCGCTTGCGCTCGAAACACTCTCATTTTGTATACTAGCTCGTTTTGACCTTGATAGAATATATTCTGCATCGCTGTTAAATTTGGGATATAAATTTCTTTGCAAGTTCGTTTCGGCATATAATGATTTTAAACTCCTCTGTTCACTTGATATCGATATCTTCGAGTATTCTCCGTAACAAAGACTCAATAAACATATTAAACCAATCCAAAACACCTCTTTTCGAACAGGCATTTTAATTACAATATTTAAAAATTTCTTCACGTCACATCAAACCAGCTGTATGTCTACTTTATTAATTATATTATATTAATGTGTTCTTTATAATTTATGTAGGAACTTGAAGTAGAGCAGGTTTTATAGTAATTATCAAATTCGTAGAACTCACGAAAAGCCACAGAAAAATGTATGGAAATTCAGGGGAATTGAATTTCATTACTTGCGTGACTGACAGCCCAAAACCTCAAAACTCACTCACTTTTGCGTTGGCTGACACTGACAGTGTCAAAAGATTACAATGATGAACCAATGTGGGACATTTACTCATGGACGTATTATAACTAACAGGACTGAGCGCTAGGCCCAAAAAAACGAGCCAAGTGAGATGCATAGAACGGAGGTAGTGCGTCCTCTTCTAATAGGGTGACCATGTATTATAATATACATAGGAAAATTGCGAGACTTGTCACAGAGTTCGGCTTGGTCTTGGACGCTTTTTAGTGGGTTAAAACAATCAAATTACTTCTACTGCTCTTGGGTGGAGCGTGAGGGCGTGTCAGACTCTTACTGACTAAACAATGCTACCCGTTCCTTACTCGCCTTTAGTACTAGGGTCAACCATGACCTTTCGGATTTGACGGATCTTTGTGAGTTAGTCGCAACGAGGCTTTAAAACCTGCACCTAAAGGTGATTTAGCATTTAAGACATTTTGACATTTAAGACATTTTTTTTTAAGACACATTGCAATTCTTTGACAAACTTAAATTCAATCTTGCCTCTTGCGGAAGTCATGTGCGTTTCAGTAAAAACATTTCTGCACAATTTCAACATGTGAGCTAGGTCAAAAATACAGTGTATTTTACTGTCATTATTTGGGAGTTTAAAGTTGGTTATCATATCTGGGATAAATTAAATTAAATTACACTGTGCAAATTTTAATAAAAATAAGCCTACGTTACGTATGTATTTTTCACCTTTACTCCAACAGAAACAATTGGGTTTCGATAAAAAAAATATACTTAACCTAAATCTAGAATATTATCAGATTATAGTTGAAAAAGAAAATTCTTGCAAAACCTGAATCATGGTCACTAGACCAGCTTAAATAAACAAATTGCTTAATTGTGAAATGATATGCCACAACTACCATAATATGATTCGCTTTTGCATCATTTTTTGCAAAACTTTTTCACCATTTCACACTTTTAAAAATAGCAGTTGTAGTTAGATTAGTTTAAAAAAAACACGTTATGACCGGGGCTAAATTCACTTGCTAATGATACGAGTTAAATAATTATAAAAACTTCTAACAAGAAAATCTTTAATTCTTTTTGTTCTTATAGGGTTATATAAATTAATAATAAAATATTTTACATCACTATTATCAGTTTAAGTCAAACTCTTGTTCATATTTTTCTTCCGATGAACAAAATGTTTGTTTGTACTGTAAATAATTTTGTCGTGTGGCAAGCGCGCAAAAGGGACAGATGGCCTCGGTACTGGCTATCTCTCTCGGCTCGTTTTGCCTCTGTTGTAATTTGGTTTCCAAAGTAAACCTTATGACGAACGCATATGTTTTATTTTGATATAACTTAATTTTGACAGTACTCAGTCCTGTTAGTTTTAATACGTCCATGCATTTACTAAATAGTGGATTGCCATAGAAAAAAAGAAAAAAAATGTGGGACATTTTGATTTGATGATGATTTGATGCCAATTTATGACTATGAAATAATATTTCGATTTGATAGAGCAATTTTTTTATTCTGGCACGCATGACTCGGTGAATGTTTAAATCCAAAAAAGTGATAACTATATTAAATAGGAACTAGGAAACTTACTAAATAGTATGCTTTGTCTGTTGATTAAAAATAAGAATCCCATGAATTTAGGGTAAACTTAGTACTTTAACAAAAAATATTTTAGCCGGTCTTGACGTTGAACCCGATGTGCCGTGTCTGACCGACGCGATGAACGCCTGGACAGAAACTTGTCCCAATACAGCCTTGCCTGACAACCCTTCCTCCCAGAGACAATGGGACGAGCCGCTTTGCAGGTTGGTGCATAATAATCTAATTAATACCAGCACCAATCCTGCGGAGTTAGCTCGCCTATTGGCTGTGGGTGAGTGGGAATCAGGTCTCTGGCTTCAGGCACTTCCGTCATTCAATATTGGCACGATGTTGAATGACTCAACTTTTCGGCTTGCTGCTTGCTTGCGTGTAGGTGCACCCTGTGTTTCTCCGCATCGCTGTCAATGCGGTGAGATGGTCGACCACCTCGGCCACCACGGCCTATCGTGTAGCAGAAGCGCGGGCCGGATAGCCCGACACGTCAGCATTAACGACATCATCCGTCGAGCTCTTGTCATCGCCGGTGTACCAGCTGTTCTGGAACCAAAGGGTTTGGCACGCGACGATGGTAAGAGACCCGACGGTATGTCCATTATGCCCTGGAAGCTGGGAAAGTCTTTGGTGTGGGACGCAACCTGCGTCGACACCCTTGCACCTTCTCATCTTCCAGTAACGGCGAGTTGTGCTGGTTCGGCTGCTGCCTCTGCAGAAAACCTCAAGCGGCGCAAGTATAACAACCTTGCTGGTAGTTATATCTTTGAGCCGTTTGGGGTTGAAACGTTAGGTCCGTGGGGTCCGAGTGCGCTTAAATTGTTCAAAAACATCTCGAAACGCCTGGTCGACACATCTCGTGACCAGAGGGCTGGTCTTTTTCTCGGTCAGAGGTTAAGCATTGCCATACAACGTGGCAATGCTGCCAGCCTTCTGGGTACTTTCCCCACTGACGTCGATGCGGACGAGTTTTTCGATGCCTTATAAATAGTTTATTTTTCCTATAATTAATTTTAATCATAAGTTGTATATATTTAATTTAGTAATATTTAGTTTTAATTTTATTTATGTAATAGTTGTTATTTAAGTTTTTTATTCACAGAATCCCATTCATTCATTCAATCACAAGGAATGAATGAAAACTATGAAAAGTAGAACATGACGTAAACAAAATATAAAATGTCTTGTGTACATGGCCAATGATGACCATTATCTATTTACAATAGTTAGAAACAAAGCAAGTTATTTTATAATTTGGTCACTACGTCAATAATAACTAACTGTGGTATGAAACCCTATTTGTTTATAAGTTACAGTGACATATCTACGTAGCAAGCAAGATATAAAACCAATGGTAAGTTAGGTCAAGAAGCGTTATATTTTTTAGCTAACATCACCTTATACACTTAATATTTAACTATTTCCTTCGATGTACTATAAATTACATTAAGAAATAATTTCAAATACGATCTTGGACAGCCAAAACAATGGTTCCAAATGTGTAAACCGTGATTCAGGAAATATACGTAGAACGTGACGTATTAGCAAAACCACTGGTTTTGGTTTATTGCCGATATTGAAGACATTTAGATTAGCAACATATCTAATAACATTTAATTTGTAACGATAAAGCGATTATTTGTTTACAGATCATTTGCAACTTTTGGTTTGTTTATATATAATTAACGATACCTAGCATAGAATTATTACAATGTGTGTGTGATAAATGCAAAATTGATTGTATACTTCAGGCAATACCTGTCGATTTCATCATTATTAGTAGTGTTAATTATTGAAAAAGCAATGTTTTCTGTTACAGTAGCAGTAATAATGGACAAAGAAGACGCATTGTTAGGAATGGAGATGGGACAGTTGGAAATTGAACCTTTAAAAATAAATAAGATTAGAAATAATGAAAATCCGTTTACAACTCCTTTACTAAAGAGAAACTATCTGGAAGTTCCTCTTACATTTGTTCCTAATGAATCCAGATGCTCTTGTTCCAGTAAAAAGAAACTAAAATCTGGAATTTTAAAAAAGAAGCATAATAAAATTCTTAAAGAACCAGTACTAAACATATTAAAAAAAAGTAGTAATGCTGTCAAATTAGAAAGTATTGATAGCTGTGAAGAATCAACAAGTAGAAGTTTGTCAGATATTGAGGGTTGTGACCCATTAAGTTTGTGCACACTTGTTGATAACTGCAATCAGTTAAGAATATCATCTAGTGATAATAAATTAAATTTAGTAGCTAATGAATGCAGTGGTCGTAGATGGTGGAAGCATAATGTACCAAGTGCACAGGAATGTAAGGAGCCAAAACAACAGAGTAGTAGATCAGGCAGCTGTTCCCAGCAGGCTCTCAATCCCCCCTGTGATGTCACTATTGATGAACTAGCAAGCTATTTTGAAACATTGGTGCATATACCAAAAAAAATGTCCTCTATGGCTGAAATGATGTACATTTAATTCACATAAATGAACCAAACATAAGGACCTCATACTAAGTGCAAAGTTAAAGTAATATTGAAAGAATTTGTCAGTTGGAACTGGGGCAGGACCTGTTGACTGAATCTATTTACAATTTAATATTTTTATGACAGACATAGTTTTTCACTGCCATGCAATAAACCTATTTTACACTTTCACTTCAAATCAATATTATGATAAAACTCTTGATGTGTAGAATGTTAATTCCATAACTTTCAGCAATTTCTAACATCCATTTGTTTACTACTCCTTGGTTTTAATCCTAGTTTTATCTATATCATTTATTTTGTTGTACTGTAAGTGATAAATATCAAAAACTATTTTAAGATGGAAAATATTGTGAAAAATACAGTAAATGATGATTGAACAGTTTTTTATTACATATTGTTCAACCCTAACAAACATTTCAATGACTACAATATACGCATGGAATGTGTAGGTACTTCAAAAAAAACATTTCCAATCTATTGTATCACTCTTAACTTAAGTCAGTAAAAGGTCTCACTCGGTTTTTTTCAGTTTTTTGAAAATACTCTACATTCACACATGCACATTCTTGAATTGGTACCGGTGTAGGTCAATGGAAACAGGCTCAAAGCTCATCCCTATTATAGGAAACTGATAGATACTGGTGAAAATAGGGATAAAAATGTGCACCTCTGCCTACCCCTTTAGGAATGAATACATATAAGAGTGTTATATATAATTATATAAGTGTTTTGCCTAATAAGGGCAATATAGCATAGAGCTAAGACTTTTAGTTTCAAATGAGATGGCAGCATTATCAAGATAATTAGGTATAATGAGTAGTTTCCGGCACGAACACTGACCATGATATGGCCACAATTCTCGTGATAGATGGGAGTAAGTTTAAGGCGACCAACTTTCTGAAAGTCCAATGCGGGACTTTTGTAGATAAAAGTCGGTACACCTACAATTACATCGGATCGAAGTGCAGGAGTAGGAACGGGGTCGTTTTTAGTCATTAAGAGTCTGACACTCCCTTCCGCCTCACCCAGGCGCTAAAAAAACACATAGGTATATACATAAAAATTAGGTACAAACTATTAATAAAATCGTATTTATCTCTAGAGTGACACTTTTTTTATTGAGTCAGTATATGTCATGAAAATCTTCGCAACTTCCCATATTAAATTTAAGTAGGTACAAGCAGAGCACGTAGTGTTTTCACTTGTAGTGACGACTTTTCCGATCTTCATTTATTCGCGCTGTTGTTAGTGCGCGTGTGTTGGTGTCGTGTTGTATGAAATGAAAAGAATTGGGTATGCGGGACTTGCGGGACACATCTAACGTTTTACGGGACTATTTTATAAATTATTTCAAAGCGGGATTACATCTAGCATTACGGGACGGTTGGCCGCCTTAAGTAAGTTCCCAAATTGTATAGGTACAGGGTTACTGGTAACTCGACGTAGGTACTTATTCCTTGCAACGTCATAGAAGGGTTAAAATGCAGCAAATTAGGCCACCAAATGTTCCACCGAACTTCAGTATTTAGATTTTTATGAAAAAATCCTAGATTAAATCATTTGGAATTGGAACCAATTTAAAAATGATTTACAGCGCGACTGTGTTGAATTTGTATGTTTTATTGTGTTTTATTTATATACACAGCGCGACTGTGTTTTATTTGAAACTTCAGTGATATTTGCCAAAGTTTTTGGCATTTTTAAACTTTTAATTATTTACAAAGATCTGCTACGGCATCAACTACGATAATAACTGAAATTTCATCACAGTTGCGCTGTAAATCATTTTTAAATTGGCTTCAAATGTTTTTTTCATAAAAACCTAAAATATAAATAGTACTTAACTCAAAAACTACTGAACTTTGGTAGAAGATTTGGTGTCCTAATTAGCTGCATTTTAACCCTACTAAGACGCCTTGCAAGGAATACTTCGAGTTACCAGTAACCCTGTATTTTATTTTCAAAATATGAATGGTATTCCATCTATAGTTATAATAAAATTACAGCAGTGATTGCACCACGAAATATTTGGTCATGTTTCGGACCGTAACTGCCATAGATTATAATGATTATTTATTTTCGTATTCTGTTCTAATCTGACATTAGCTGTCACCTCAGCAGCCTATAAAAAATAGTTTTGTTTGTTGATAGGTACAAATTGAAAACAAATACGTCTACCTATAAATGTTGTATTTAGATTATTGGCACAATTAAATACTTTATATCAATATAAGTTTCAATCCAAAAATCATGTTGAATGTAAACGATGGATGTTGGTATGGTATATTTTTGGATGCGTATACTTATTCCACCAAGTATTTGATTTTTACTATAACAGTGATCATAGCTTCTGTATTTTTCGTATGGATATACGAGAAACCTTCGTTTTACAGGGTATTTATTTTATATAAAACGCCATTTTAAGTAAATTACCGTATATGTTCTACATTGCATAAACATGTAATGGTTTTCTTTTTCTATTTTAGCTGTTATTCAAAATAAGTAAACATTCTACCATTGTTAGTCCTATTGAAAGCTGCGAAGCAATTGAATCTGAATACCACAACAGTACGTTATTTGATGATGAGTTAACAACTAACCAAGAAAGGAAAAAAGACGCTGAAGTAGAACCCGAATCTCGACCTTCTCATTAGTCATAAAATAATTAAATATTTTTTACAAAATATCTAGGTACCTATTTGTAATAGAATGTTTGGTTTATACCTATAACATTCTTACGTAGACACATGATATCCAATGATTTTTCAATATTAAATAAATAATAAATATTTATTTACTACATATGTAACTACTTATTTTTATGCCTCCTTGATTCAAATTTGTTTATTCCTTCATGTGTATCAGAACATAATTAATACAATGGCCGCAGAAACTAATATAGGTTTATAGAGTAGGTAAGTATCCTTTATACTTTAGCACTCGAGAGAGTTTGACTCCGATCCCTCTCGAGGTCCAGCAGGGTTATTGAAATTTTCCGGTTTTTGATAATAATATCTTTAATAAAACGGAGTCTGCTATTATGCCTGGAACTTGTAAGCCAAAAATAAGAGGTGATGGTTTGTGGGACTAGGACGTTTGTTCTAGGACGAGTTTAACTTCCATCATCAGAATCATCATCATCAGGGGTTACGAGGCGGCTTGTAAGTAAGTACTTACTGACCAAATACCCGCCCTTGGATATGGAGGTCTTCGCGTGGCAGGGCAGGAAGAGCGGGGACTTGTGTGTCTGACTGATACGAAGGATAATATCACCGTGCCGATCTGAGCTTTGTCAGATCTCGGTGGTGGAATGGCGGGCCAGGCTTCAACGACTTACCCCTGGCCTCAACACCATCGAGGTAGCCGGGCCAGTACTCGATAATTATTGACTCGGGACGGTATGGCTTTCCGACGTTCCGTGTTACTCAGATGTTCTCAATGAATTTTCAGTGTCGCATAACCAGGGAGCAGACACTCGATGTCATCGCTTCGTCTATTGCGGAGAGGACACCGTGCGGTAAGCGCTGGTAGAGAGCACGGCGAGGGAAGAGGTCGCGTCGTACTTTCATATTATCACAGGTTGGAAACGATGTGTCGCTGTTGATAGTTGTGTTGACAATACCAATACCAGTCATAGAATGCAGTGGTGTGCAGCGCAGTGCAGCAGGAAGCTGTGACCACGTCGTGTCACGGAAAGAGGTTGGAAAACAACAACTACTACTCTACCCTCAAGGAGTGACCACATGAAGAGAAGAGAAGTCGGCCCGTAGGTACTACCCATGTGTTTAACATTGCGGTGGGTTTTAATTAGGAAGTCTGAATGTCTTCGTTTTCTCCGGACGAGGTGGCTCTTCCTTGTGAGATTTCACCTTAGGGTAGAAAAGAACAAGTTTGACTCTGTGTACTCAATTGTCAAAACTTCTTACTAAAGTATCACCTTTAAGTTTAAAACAGCTAGTTATCCATCTCCCAAAAACTTCACGTTACGTTGTATGAATATGATCGAAGTTAAAAAACTTCAGTGCAAAAAGGGGGTTTCTTTTGCTTCAGGGTTTTTTAAATTTTGTTACTTTAAAATACTTACAATTGTAATTACTTGTAAAGTGTAATTAGGTACCGTAATAAATCTTTGCAGCTCTACACAGCCTCAGCTTCACACACATAATGGAGGAAGGTAAGTAAGTATACCTACCTACTAATTAATTCTTTTTTATCCACTCTTTTGACTGCATTATTGGTGCAGCGGGTGAGCAACCGGCTGCTGCCTAAGTTGCGTAACATATTGCTAGTTCCCGCGCGGAGCAATTACAAAATGTGAATCCAGGTCTGGGTTATTTGTAAATGCACTTATGACACATCCTAGTAAGGGGCCACGTTAGCAAATTCTATGAACTATACCTTAGTAACAATAACATAATAGGTAGGTTAGTACTACTATTAAAATTCTTATCGGACGATACAGAATAGTATATTGTATATACCTACATGTAATGTCATCCTTTTCTTTTCCAAATACAAAACAATAGTAGGACGTCATCACTCAAAGCCAGCAAATAATAATAAATTACTATGAGATACCATAACTGCCGGCTGGCTTAACAAGGGATTCGGTATGTCATTCATAGAAATCTTTAATGCTCTTGTTTAGCATTACGTTAGTGAAACGGAAAATGGCAGAAAAAACTAGGTTTAATGTTGAAGTTGTATTTACATATAATTTCTTCTGAATTAGGTACTTCAAACACTATTGATGTCTCGCAAATAGGTACCAATGTGTATGAGCTGACATTTAAACACATCACTTATTACAATCATTTTTATTCGTGACAGCCGAAACAAGCAAATTAGTGTCTTATAAAAGTAAGACAATATGAAATAACACTTTGAAATAAAAATATTATGTAATATCAACATTGAGAAAACATACAGGTTCAAAATATGCTATGGCTACTAAAGAAATCTGAAGTATTAAGGTATAATATAATTGTAACATCCTGGTACCTACCAGGATGTTTTTTTTTTTTTTAAGGGGGGAAAATCATCGAATGACTGCTTCCGCCTGGGTGAGGCGGGAGGGAGTGTCACTCTTACTGACTAAAAACCACCCCGTTCCTTCTCCTGCACGTCGAGCCCCGGTTACCCGTTAGGTTTTCCGCGACACCTACCAGGATGTTACAATTATATTTTGAGGAGATTCATTCTTTGTTCTGACATTTTTTTTTAAACACCAAAACATTTAAATTGTTTTATTTATTTACCTACGTAAGTAAGTACCTACTCGGTGTTCTGTCTGACCCTTTACACATTTCCAGTAACCGCTAGGAGAATTCTCTTCGGCTTTATTACAGAAGCTATCAATCAGAATGACGTGTTTATTTTGATTATTAAAAAATCATAGTATATACTGGATAAGGGTAGGTAGCATATGTTGCTCTCCCTTACATACGACAGGGTAGGTACCTACTTATTTCATTCATTCATTTTAGGACACGGTGGAGCATAAGGTGGCGGTGTGTCCTGCGTGGACTGCACCGCCGTGTCCTCAGGAATGTGATCGGCGACGGCGACCTCTCGCGTCCTACTCTGTTTCAGACCATGGTACGGAGCGGGGGGGACTGGGATGCCGTCTCCTCCTTCTGCGAAGCAGTCATGCTAGCTAAGGAGGAGGCGGAGCGCGTGAGGGAACGAACCTCCTCACGACCCGGCCGTCGCGAGAGACACTCCGGGCGTCGGGGATCGCGAGACGATCTCCGGCCACCGTAATCACAAGCGGCGGACGGCGAGCACGGATGGGGCCTAACAGGGCTGATGCCGATACGGAGCCGCGGAAGACTTAACGGGTTACCGGGGCTCCGGCTCGAAGTGCAGGAGTAGGAACGGGGTGGTTTTTAGTCAGTAAGAGTCTGACACTCCCTCCCGCCTCACCCGGGCGGGAGAAGTCATAGGATGATTTTCTCCCCTCAAAAAAAAAGGTAGGTACTTATTTCATTAGATGATACCATTTCTTATTTTCTTTGCGACTTTTTTTAAATTGAACTGGTTTTCGGTTTCGTGATTTTTATCTTTGGGGTCCTCGTTTCTGCAACTGACCATTTTTATGGCAGAGAGAACCCTTTTTCGATAAAAATAAAGAAATTACTTTCACTAATGTTATTGAGAAAGATAAGGCAATGAAAATAAGATCACACCACTTATTTTGCAAAATGATAAGCTGAGGTATATTTTAATTAAGGTGCCTAAGTAATAATAATAAGGTAAGTAATAAAATTTAATAAGGTATAATAGGTATGAACAGGGTCCACATTTCGAACAAGGTAACCCTTTAAATAAATGCTTAGGGCCCAAAACAATATACCTGTACATTTCTCAATGTTATTGTTTACATTCATGCATGTGCCAGTGTTAAGGCAGACTTTTAAATAAAACTCGTGATAAGTTCAATGGCAAAACTTATAATCGACTTGTCTGTCAAAAGTGTAACGGCATAAAGTGTCACCAAGTTAATCATAAAACCATAGATGGTCAATACCGCGACCATAAACAATATCAATATTCTCGTCTTAATATACTAAAAGTGGGTCCCATACATATCTGTGATAGTGGGACGCCACAATACCTATATAATTAATTATATAAATCGTATAATTTAACAGGTGAAATCCAACGATTTATGAAAAAACTAATAACTTTTAACCGGAGTTATAATGAAATAGGTGTTACTGTGGTAGGTACTATGAACCACATAATATTATGTTTGCAGTCAGTTCAATGTAGGTACTAATGCGTTGTTCGCACTACATGCTAGTATTTTAATCGCTTAGCGAGTATTTAGTAGCCCTTCCTCGCTTCTGTCTCAAAATCTAAGCGAGAAAAAGCCACTAAATACTTTCTACTCGACTAAAATACCAGCATAGTACGAACTGTACATTACTGAACTGTAATTAGCTCTGTTTACTGTATGATTTATGCGGTGGATAGTGCCTATTCCAGTACCTAACCTACTTATTGCTTACCTACATAGAAATTACGATAATTATGTTAAGGTCAATATAGTAACAGAACAGAATCGTACAGAGCAAGATAATATCATAGAACTTGCTTCGTTCGAAGTAAGCTAGGTACTAGCGTATCGTTCTTCCGTCGCACATTCTCCCGTTCGTATTAATTTACAATTTGCACACACGAGTCAAAATAGTAAAATTACAAACTGTTGAAACTGGGTAAACTTGTACATTCCCAACTGCCACTGTTCCAACAGGTCTATTTGCTGTTTGTTCGCTTTACGGAAACCATGGACACGAATGGATCTTATTTTTCTCGTATTCTCCAAAAATTGGTTGTAAATTTTGAGTCGGGGAACGAAATAACGAAGAAAAATAAAAGCCGTCTCGAGTCTCAACAGATATTTAGAACCATAGGAAAAATCTTGTATACATGTTTAGTTCAAATGCTTACAATACAATACCAAAATATTGAAAGTACCTACCTATATCTTTAATTGGAAAGGTGACATGTATATTTTTTCTGTATTTCGTATATAATTTTGGGGTTTACTAACAAACAATGTTCAAATTAAACTTATCAGGTTACTGGTTTCACATTTATTTAAACTCGTAAGTAGCTTCATAGTTGAACTTAGTTTGTGAAGTTTGTGCAAAGCAACAGTCACAAAGTTATTTCCTGAAACAACTGGGGATTTAAATATTTTTTTTAAATAGATATTATGAAATTGTCAAAGTACGACCACGATAACTTTAGAAGCTAAAGCAAAATTTTCACTCTGTATGTTATTTATTAAAGTCATGATTATTGTTTATGATTACAATTTGTTACAATTTTTTTACAATCACTTTATAAATTTCGATTACCAAAAACTAACACAATTCATAGGATTTATTGTGCACATATTGAAACCACTGTATACATATAATGTAGATACGATATTTTGTAATAAATTTAACATGATTGACTACAGTACAGCACCCCGAATATTGTCCAGCAAACCATCGCTGCTATAGGGTGTTTACTAAAGTAATATACATTTCATACACAATTCCACAGCTCACATTGCGCACCATTAGAAAAATAAATTATAGATGCTCCTAAACTAATACCTTCAAATTTATCTTGGCATATTTTCGCTGCACATCTGAAATAAGGAAAATATAACTTGTTATTAAATAATAGCCAATGCAATGCAATATTAAAATGAATAATTACACTAGCCACTCCCGGGCGATTCCACCCGCAGCTCGGATTGATAAATGGATTAACCATAATTTAATAAGAACCAGTATTTCCGAAGATTTAACCAACCAAACACTCTTCAGCTTTAAGTATAAATGAAAACTTTTTAATAAAGTTTTTAATAACTTACGGCAGTTGAGCGGGAAATTGACGAATAATTTGTCTGAGGATTTGGATTGCCAGGAAACATGTTCATTTGCATATGTGGTGGTGGTGGCGGTGGTGGGTGCGTGGCGAGCGGAGACACAGGTGGCGCAGTTGCGTTTCCACATCCACCGCCACCTGCATTGTTTGGGCTGCCTGTCGTAGACAGTCGTGAAAAAGCAGCTAGTGCATCAGGAAAATTAGGAGGAGTCGCTGGAGTGTTGCATGGCGTCATCAATTGCTGAAATAATAATTATATTACATTTCCTTTAAGTGCTATCCAACATTGTAAATCATATAAAAGCAAAGTTAAAAAAATTATTTGCAATGGTTTGTTATTTTTCTCACACATTTTTTTAATATTATTAAGTTATCATTAGAATGTGTAGGAGAGCCATGCTTCGGCACGAATGGGCCGGCTCGACCGGAGTGATACCACTGCCTCAGAGAAAAAAGACGAGAATCAACGCTTGCGTTGTGTTTCGTCGTGTAAGTGAGGTTACCAGAGGCCCAATTACCCTCCCCTTCCCCAATCTCCCCAATCCTTGAATCCCGTACGATCCTCAAACTCCTAATCCCCAAAAGGCTGGTAACGCACTTGTAACGCCCCTGGTGTTCCAGGTGGCCAAGGGCGACGCCGATTGCTTACCATCAGGTGATCCGTCTACTCGTTTACTCGGCATATGCCATAAAAAAAAATAATGCGAATAATATTATATGCACTCAACAATACATTTTAGAAAGGTTTTCTTTGAATGTAGGAAATGGAAATCACAACATATTCTAGTGTTTTTAGATACCTGACGGTAGTGTGGGGCTGCAATGCCATTAGCTCCAGTCGGAATAGCGACTTCTTGAAAAAATATTGATAATGCCGTCTGAAAATTAATAGATTATATAGATTATTGTTTTAAGTCCCAAATAGTCTAAGTATCTTATTATTAGAATAATGCTATAAAATAAACAAATATTATGTAAATATGACTAAGTTCTTTGCTTTTGAAAAACATAATAGGCTCAGGTGTTGTTATTCACATTACTATAATTATTACTTGTTACAAAATGGAAAATGACCAAGACATTAAATAAATTTTCAAATTTAAATTGATTTCATTAAACATCAATATTTTTTTTATATTGACCTGTAAATAAAATGAATCATAACTATGTATTCCATATCTAACCAAAAAAAAATATTACTTAAAATGCAGAAGCAATTATGTACACATAATTGTACATTTTAAATCTGATAATAATATACTGAACAACAAATACAGAAATATAACTTAATAAACCTGACTAATAGGTAACTCTTTATTTATTTTGAGGCTGACAGTCATTTATCATAGTACTACTACTGCTACATTCAACAAGAGAGATAAAGTAGATATATAAACATGTACAATTACACATTTGCTATACATATTCACATCAAGGTTAAACCACTAGCTCCATTCGCTTATTGCGTGTTATTTCGTCAATATCAATAATATGTTTACAGATTAAACGAGAAGCATTTATCTAATAACATAAATAATTTCAGTGGAATTAACTAATCATAAAACGTATAACGAATACACGGGGACCAATACAATAAATACAATGTCATTATTTATTTGAACAATTAACACTTAATTGATAACGAGTGACAACTGCTAAAGGCTATTGTAAATCAAAATATGTAGCAGCCATTTCATGATTACATACTGTTTGTTTACATATTTATAAAATTTACCTCAAATTGCCAATGTGCAGCTTGCAATAGCTGTTTTGCTTGTTCTTGAGCACATCCTGCAGCTAGCACAAATTGATTTATCATAACTTGTTCACGTAAAGTTGAATCCATTGTAACAAAATTCAACAAAATATAAAAAGAAGTCCACTGATGAATATCCAAGAAATAACAAGCAATGAAAATAAAGTCAAGAATGCGTATCTAATCAATTACTGAGCGCTAGTGGACCCATTTAGTAGGGCGAGTGTGAAAGAGAGATCCGATGAGTTTACGTAACAATCACTGACACGAATATTATTGCCACAAACAACAATTTCAATATTTTTTTCAAAGATAATGCTGCCATTATTCGAATATAATAATAATAAAACTTTATTCATAAAAACAAAACAGCAAAATACAAAAATATTATATCTTTAGTACGTACAATTTGACCTTACAAAGTTAGATGCCTGCACTCGGACAATCCTGTATCGTGAACAGGACATGTTATTTCTATTAACACAAAATTAAATACTTATCATTATGCAACAGAAAACAATATAAATAAAGAAAGTACGTGTCAAAAATCTTTCGCTTGTACTGAAAGAAAATACACATCTACTTACTAATGGCACTATTATCAAACTATATTTTATGTAGTTGATTCATACATACATACATACATAATTTCATGCCTGTCTCCCATGGGGGTAGGCAGAGACTAGGGAACGCCAATTACTACGATTCTTACATACATCTTTCGCTTCATTAACAGTCATCAATCTTTTCATGCATGCTTGTCGGTTAAGGGTACTTTTAATATGGCCCTTCTTTAATATAATGATTTCAGTACCTACTCAACACAGAACGGTACATTTTGAGCAATGGCTAGGTGGCTGATTCCTGCGTCGGGCAAAAAATACAAAAATGTTATGAATTCTGAAAAATTATCACTAGTTGACTGATTATAATCGATCGGGAGACTTCTTATTTATTCTTTTACTCAATTTTCTATTATGTTAAAAGTATAGGTATCATAATAATATACCTATTTTGTATAATGCATTCAATAAAGTTCGTTGTGTTTCGTCGTGTGAGTGAGGTTACCGGAGGCCCAATTACGCTCCCCTTCCCCAATCTCCCCAATCCCTGAATCCCCAACGATCCTCAAACTTCTAATCCCCAAAAGGCCGGTAGCGCACTTGTGACGCCTCTGATGTTCCAGGTGTCCATGGGCGACGCCGATGGCTTACCATCAGGTGATCCGTCTGCTCGTTTACCGGCTTACGCCATAAAAACAATTGAGTGCATCGATTTCATCAAAATTAAAATCAATTTTCAAAAACGATTTTTCTTTTATTCTCGATAGAAACAGATTTTATCAATCCGAAATATCGCCCACCTCTACAAGGTGCAGGCTTACATACATAAGTTTTTGATGATATTGAAAAATAATCAAAGAACAAATTAAGTAGCATATTAAATAAAATGGTATGGTATTTTTTTCATAATAAATTTATTTGTGGCTTAAAAAAACCTACTCAGAGTGTACACTCTATCGGTGACCGATTGAATGAAAATTCAATGTCAAAAACGTCAACAATGTCAAAATATAAGAGAAGACGGATCAGTCACACTGGGACATTTAGTTGAATGAACTGTGTGTTGGTAGATTCTACTTTGCAGAATAAGAGTATTGATTTTCACGTATTGTTTAGATAATGGAACCAAATCCTGTAATTATCGCTGCCACAGCCAAACAAACGGCGTCTGTAAGTTATTATTTCTATTTGTTTAATGAATAGTGTACAATAATTACTAATTCGTTATCGGTGTTTTTTATTTCAGCTAATATTTCTTCATGGTCTGGGTGACACTGGGTTAGTATGTTTTTGATTGCTGAATTTTACACATAACTGCATGGCATAGGTATCTCTCATAACATAATTATCTCATAATTTGTATTTCAGCCATGGTTGGGCAAATACAATTGCTGCTATTCGTGGCCCTCACGTTAAGGTAATATGTCCGACTGCCGCTACGATGCCAGTGACGTTGAATGCAGGTTTTCGTATGCCGTCGTGGTTTGATTTAAGAACATTAGATGCTACAGCTCCTGAAGATGAAGAGGGAATATTAAGAGCCACTGAACATGTTCATCGTCTCATTGCTAATGAAATTAAAGTAAGTAAAACGAATTGTAATTGATGTTAATCAAGTTAAATCAATTGTCTTTCCTAAGTTTTGTCCAAGTTCTTTTATTGATCTACACATCGCATCAGTAGTCTATTTCAGCTCTAAATTTCCAAATGCATCCAGTAACTTTTTTGTGAAAGAGTAACAAACATACATCCACACACGTTTTTACCGGATACATTTCGGTGGGTATGTGGGAGAAGTCCCCTAGTCCTTTCCATCGTTTTACTAGACAATCGGTGAAGCAACACCGTTTTATGGTAGATTCCCCACCCATACGCTCGAAGTGCTTCACTTCAAGCTTCCTTGAGCATACTGCTGTGGAATTCTTTGCCAAATTCTGTGTTTCTTGAGGGGTATTATCTGATGGGTGTCTTTAATGCCTGAGTGAATAAGTTGATTATGGGCAGACATGCTCCATTGTAGGCCACCTCATCGCGTACTACCTCATGAGATAGTGGCCTAATGTTGAACCATTAGATTTAAAAAAAAAACTGATTTTCGTGTATAATATTACTAGGATTGTATATTAGTAGGATAGTGTTAATTTTGTCAGTAATGGTGTTCTTATGCATGATCTTTATTTTTTAGGGTTTTTGTCTTGAAATGTCAGCCTCATAAGGTATAATGGTATTGTAAATGCTTACAGTAGAATGTACAAGATTTTGATTGCACCCGGAATAGTTATGTATTTTTTATGATTAATGCAAGCATGTATGTACACAACAAAGACGATTAACTAAAATATGCCTGGTGCAGAAGTTGAAATTCATTTAATTGTTTTAATAAACCAACTTTCGTATCTTCTCTTCACACTGTTTTGAATTAAATTGTTTTGAATTTGATATGTATAATGTATAAAGAGGCATTACATTTTATATACCTTTACTGTGTTGAAATAAGTTGACTGTGATGTGGCACAATTTTATTATAAAATTTAACATAACATTTTGCATGACCTAGAGATCAAATTCCAGTCATAATTTTTCCAGCCTTTAAACTTTATTATTAACATGGAAGTGCTGAAAAAATATTATAATGTATGTATTTATCTTAATTTTGCCCAACACTAGAATTTTCTCCAGTGTTGTGGGTGTGTATGCAAACATACAAATCCACATACACATCACACACAGAACAACAATTTGTAGATCACACAGAGTTGTTACATGTGGGAATAGAAACTGCAACATCTTGAGCCGCTGCTCCAGCCACTGCAACAGCCGTGCAGTTCTTGTAATGCAGTAGGATTTGTTATACTAAACTGTATTAAAACATGACATTTCACCTACTTGAATTCTTGGAGAACATTTTCTCTTCGATTTTGAAATCAAAGGAGAGAATTAACTTAATAAAATTAAAAAAATCTGTTCGATCACTATCACTTCGAAGTATAAAAAATATTAAATATTGTTTATTTATCCTGACACAGTAGATTATTAACTATTACCATACATTAATGACACAAAAACTAGTTTAATATTAATGTTTTGCTTATGTAAGAATAGACATAATATATGTAGTGTCCAGTAACATGTTTTTTGTTACATTATATAAATAGGAGTTAAATAAACGAAATTTCTATTTCAGGCTGGTATACTCCCCAACAGGATATTGCTAGGCGGATTTTCTCAAGGTGGTGCATTAGCACTTCATGCCGGTTTGACATATCCAGAACCTCTAGCTGGAATTATGTCATTATCTTGTTGGTTACCACGACATGCTCATTTCCCGGATGCAGTAAAGACTTCTAAAGAGTTACTCGTAAGTCAATCACATTCATTTAAACTTACCTAATTGCAACTTCATACTGACCCATCCATTACTGAACATGGCAATTGTGCACTCGTAACTCCTCATCGTGTTAAAGGTGTACATGAGTGGAGCTGATCACCATCAGGAGAGCAGTATACTAGTTTACCTTCTTGCATCCCAGTCAAAAATAAATTCTTGGATTTATCGTCCAATTCTCATTGTGTCTTCATTGTGTTTCATAATGCTACACATTTTGGAAGTCACCTCAACTCTATCAATAAATTTTCGTAATTTACCTTTAAGTTTCAACCCATTAGATAGTGATTTTCCTAATTCATTTAGTGTTTTTCGAATTTGTTGTCTTAACAACACACTGTGTGTTGAAAGCCTATGACTGCGTTTATGTGAATCAGCAAGATAAGACGATTAATCCAAGTTGCCGCCATACTACAAATCTCATTAACGGGTGCGGCTCCCAGTAATCAGTAACGTAATTGAAGTTTGTTACGTATATATTAACATTTAATGAACGATATGATTATCTAAACACACTTATCATCAGAAAGGCTATCAATATCTATGTTTGTAATAACTTATGAAAACTTTATACAAAGAGTACAAAGATTATATCCATTTTTAATTCCTTGTTGTATAGAAGGTTACAAGTACCATAAAATATATTATCAACGCATCTTTATTTTAATGATTAAAGTATACGGTTTTTTCTTACACTTTTGAGGGTGCTCGAAATGTCAGTCAGTAGTGTTGTGTGCGTACCATACGATGACTTTTGGCAAGTCGTTCACCATGCACACAGCTCATGATCGTGAGCTCCAGTGTGGTTTGAAACTAGTCGAGTACTGGAGTGAGTCGTATTAAAATATATCATTATTAGGAGAATGTCATGTTTCTCAGTTAAAATTGTACTTATTTGAAAAATGAACTATAAATGGATTTCTGTATTCAAAGCACATTGTGTGTTAATTTATGTTATAAATATTTATTGGTAAAGTTCCTTTATGTAGACTGGGGGTTAATTGCCGGAAATTAGGTATATTCAATATAGTATAATGTATGATTTTTTTGCCTATTTTTCATTACTTTTTGCTATCTTTACGTAAATAGGTAATATATGAAGCTTGAAAATACAGCACGCAATATTTAATTTTAAAAGGTGTATGAGGAAAGGTCAATAAAATATATTTATTTTTGTTGACAGTGAATTATTGTTAACTATTTTATACTAACTTTTACTGAAATTATAGTCTTTAATTATACTAATATATTATAATACCTCTTCCAGATATTCCAAGCTCATGGTGACTGTGATCCAGTAGTTCCATTTAAATGGGGACAAATGACTGCTTCATTCCTCAAGACTTTCATGAAAAATGTTGAATTCACAACATACCAGGGGTTGACACATAGTTCTTCAGATGCGGAGCTTAAAGATATGAGAGCTTTTATAGAAAAAACACTGGCTGCTTAAGAGAAATAGTTAAAATCCTTGTAAAAGTACAGAATATATTTTTGTTCGACCTCGAGTTGAAGTTGCAATAGTTACACTACTGTTAGAATTTTAATGTATTATAGCTATAAACCCATCATGCTGTTCTATTTCTGTGGCTTAGTGTACATTAGTATAAGATATTAAAAGTACCTAATAGTATAAAATATGGGAAAAAGATTGGAAGTCAGTAGGTAATTACATTGTTGATCCTACTTTCATCAATTAAGTTTTATCATGTTCTTTATTTCAAGTTACTCTGAAAATTAACGCCTAATTAGGTAAATACCTAGGTAACTTAATTGAAATAATAAATAATTATATTTAAAAAGAGTATTAATATTTTAATCTCATGCATAGATTACTAATTACGATTCGTCCTTTCCAATCATCTTTATCAAAAGTTATAAAGCAGAGCAATTTATGACATCCTAACATTGTGTGCAATACGTAATTAAACAAATCCATAGATGTAATTTGTGTTATTTTTTCGCATCCCACGCTATACAACAGTTTTGTTTCGTGATAGTCTGTGGTGTCACTCCGTTCAAGCCGGCCTATTCGTGCCAAAGTATGACTCTCCCACACGTAACTGTTTGGAATAGTTATTGAGAAATATAACATTAACATAACCTCCTGCCAATCCCAGGATCACTGCCTCGTTGGCCGAGTCACAAGTGCAACTGCTGGGCAAGGGATCTCGGGTTCGATACCCAGGTCGGACAAAGTATTACTGGGTTTTTAAAATTAGTAGTAGTATCACAGTCTAGAATTGTGCCCGGTATATGGCAATAGGCTCACTCACCCATATTATATGAGACTTAAATAGTGAAAAGTGGGTGATAAATTGTACAGTGGCATTAAGTGCCATAATGTGCACTTCGGCCTACCCCTTCGGTGACAAAAGACGTGATGTTGTGATGATGCCAGTGCCAGGTAAGTAGAAGTGAAAATGAATGACTAGTTGCAGACTATAGAATGAAATAATGGATTTGAATGGTTAAATCCTAGAGAGCTAGGCGCGTCGCGTTTCGCACGTCCCTCAAAAGAGCTATCTGACCACTACAGTAGGGCTGATGCCGATACGGAACCCCGGATGACTTCACGGGTTGCCGGGGCTAGATCAAGTTAGATTAGGGCCTTTAACACAGTATCTGGATAGCCACTGTCTATGTTGTCTTAACTTAATTTGTATGAACTATTTTTACCATATTTTATCGGTTACATAATATATGAGGGTTTTGGAACAGGCCCATAATGTTATAATTGAATTAGCTTTGACTTCGATCCAATCCATGAGTACTCATGCCCTAAATAATGAGATCTAAAAAAAAAATACGTATGTCATGACATTGACATTAATTTGACAACTGAGTCTGACTGACAGTGACATTAGAAACGGGCCGTGAGTTGTGAGCAACAGCAAGCATGCTTTTCTGCGAATAGCAATACCACCTGATTTAACATCCAATTCAACTTTTACATATTACAATTTTGGTCGTCAATAATGCTATCACCCTCAAAATGAGCAAAGACGATTGTAACAAAACGCCTTCTTCAAAAAAACGGCGCGCTCACAATGAATCCACTAAAAGTAAGTTGGTTGAGTACTTAGTTTTTAGCAACTTAGAGCGGTTATACTTAGCATACAAACAATAATTATCGTTTGGTCTAATTAAAATAACTTAACCTAATAAAAACAAAATATGATTACTTGTAATTTGTGTATTCCGCTAAAACTAAACACTAATTGTTTAACAACTGTAATAACTTGCTATTCCCATATAACCAACAATTTTAATTTACAGATGTTGGATCACCTTCGAAAAATACCCAAAATCTACAAGCGTCAGAAAAGGTAATAAGGAAACGGAAGAAACCATTACCAAAATTTCGATTGAAGGCAAATGGAGAAAAGGCTTCATTATCTGTTGGAAACAGTGAAAGAGTTCCATTAACGCTCACAGATATTCAATATTTGCTATTACACTCTCTACTTGGTAACCTCAACCTAACTGAGACCCCACGTTGGTATACATTAGAAAAATGTGAATCAATTAAAAAAACAACATGTTTAATTTTGGAGGGTATATCTATTAAGCATTGGGAAAAGTACTCAGATGAATTAAGTAACGCTAAACAGATATTCCAGGATTTTGTGGAAGTTTTAACACCCTCTGTTTATGGGGGTTCATTAGTTGAAGAACTTGCTTTGGTTCCCTTGTCAGAGGCTGAAAAAGATATCATAATTCAGAAATATGGGAGTATGAATTTAGCACTTCAAGCAAGGAAAGATTTGATGATTATGATGAAAGCTGTCTTTCCTATAGGAGATGGAAGTGGAGTAGATGAAGTTGAGTTTACTACTCAAGACAAATTTCCGAGAACTCAGTTAGTATTGTCAGCCTGGCAATTGATTGAAGAGAACTACCCAGTACCTCTCAAGGGGAAACTCAGTACTGCTTATGCTGATTATGTACTCACAAAAGATGAATATGCACCTGTTACTGCTTCATCCCCAATGTTTGGTATAGACTGTGAAATGTGTTTAACTAATGCTGGTTCAGAATTGACAAGGATTTCTGTGGTAAATGAAAAACATGAAGTGATATATGAGTCATTAGTCAAACCTTATAATGATATTACAGACTATTTAACCAAATTTTCAGGAATCACAAAATCTCTATTAAATAATGTAACTAAACGCTTAGAAGATGTACAGAATGACTTGAGAACACTATTACCTCCCGATTCGATTTTAGTAGGCCAGTCTTTAAACACAGATTTGCATGCTTTAAAAATGATGCATCCTTATATAATAGATACTAGTTTATTGTATAACTTTACTGGAGAAAGAACTCGAAAACCAAAACTTAAAACATTGGCAAGAGAATTTTTGAAAGAAAATATTCAGATGGGAATGGAAGGTCACTGTTCCACTGAAGACTCTTTAGCAGCATTAAAATTAGTACAACTGAAACTTAGTAATAGCATTGAGTTTGGCGATGCTGTACATACAAATAGAGAAAAATTTAAGGAAAATGTCATAAAAATGGTGAAAACACCCCAGTATGCCTTATCAATATTCAATCACATGCTGGAGCAAAAGAAATCATCTGTTATAATAGGCTGTGATGATATAACTGGCGACTATCATACATATCTGACCCAAGCCAAGGAAAGTATGTCTGCTCAGTTCAAGAAAGGGAAGCCTAAGAAGATCAAGCTGGTTACTGTAGACACTGTCGAGGAAGTGATTACTTCTTTCAAAGAATCTGTCAGTGATTATAACTTAACTATGGCCCATTTGAAATGCAATCCAGATGATGATAAGGAAGAGGAACTTATTAAGAAAATCAACACTTGGATTCAATCAATTTGGGACCATCTCGAGCAGCCATCTTTGTGTGTTGTAGTGTTTGGTGGGACTACAGAAGACAATGGTTTAGCATTGATGAAAGTGAAGAACACTTAATTAACTCAGATTGTTGTTGTTAGTTGTTAAGTTTAAATTATATTCACAGAAAAAAGCTTGTGTTTTATTCAAACAGTAAGTAATAACTAGGATTGTTTGTACGCTTGTATGAAGCTTCATACAAGGCTACCTTCCAATTTTTTTTTTAGGTAGCTACATTGTAATTATTATTGTTAAGTTACAACTTTTAGAAAACATGTACACTGCAACGTAAGCACTATTTTACTACCACCTTGTTTTCTTATTTTTTTCTATTAACTGCCTCGTTGGCCGAGTGGTCGCAACTGCGACTACCAGGTATAGGGTCTCGGGTTCGATTCCCGAGTCGGCCAAAGTACTGGGTTTTAAAAAAATTCTCAGTAGTAGCTCGAATTCTGGAATTGTGTCCGGTATATAGCAGTAGGTTCAGCCCCTATTACATGGGACTCATAACATTATAATGAAAAGTGGGTGTTACATTGTAGTGACATTTAATAGCTGTAATGTGCACATCTGCCTACCCCTTAAGGGATAAAAGTCTTGATGTTATGTTATGTTTTTCTATTAAAGTATGTAGGTCATTGTAGGTAATTAAATTCTTGGTTTAGTAAAAACAATAATTTTCTAGCTTAGGTGTTGCTAGTCCACTAGAATAGTACAATAATATGTACTATAGGAATCTAAAATGCTCACCACTTCTGTCTAGTTGCGCGTGCGGCTTGGCTTTACAAAACAGTCATTAGTTTGATTGCACACTTTACTAGTAGTTGCATATTGATGCAATAATTAGTGGATCGACACGGTTCGCTTTCAGCACGAAATAATCATGTGAAAACTGTAAGTTTTGTGTCTACGATTGGGTGGGATGAGAACATGACACAAGAGAAAGCCCTAGTAAGGCAATGTTTCCCAAAAGAAAGAAAATGAATGAAAAAGTTATTAGAAAAAACAACATTTATTTAGAAAGCGCATAAATCTGCCCCGTAACAGGATCTACTGTGAGAGACGGCGGTAATTCTGCAGCTATATCCGCCAGAGCTTCCCATCTCGTGGCCCGACTGCTCTCGGATTGGCTCGGGCTTGTGGCTTCTTCAGGACAATCGACACTGATGATGAAATATAAATGAAAGTCACATTTCTGTCACGTAATTGATGAGTTATGATCGGTACCAACCAACGGTTTCCTTTCTTTTCTATTTTTCCTATTTCTCTTGTCTAGGTAGGAAGGTGTCTATGACACAGGTAGTTACAGAACTTATATGGAAATAATTTAAAATACCTAAGTACTTGTGGATTAAATAGTTACTTACCTACCTTACTTACAGTATTTTGTACAATATTGTGGGAGTTTTTATAATATGGAAAACTATGTTTCAAGTAAAAAAAAACAAGATAAAGTAATTGATTAAAAAACTATTGTTTAAATATAAAAAAATAAATCACAACAATAAGTTATGAAGAAAACGTTTATTTTTAAATAAAAAATTATAAGTAAGTACTAAGTATTAACTATTATGTGTTGTTACTAGGTATGTATTTTTGGGAAAAACTACACTCGTTTAAATAATTTTTCTATATAAGTAGGTTTCATAACAGTGACTAATTTATTGTAAAAGTTACGTACACCGTTTCGATTAATTACCTACATTAGCGTTACAAGTATCTTACAATTCATAAAAAGAACACGTGTTTTTTGTTCTTTCACAAATTTTATTATTTCGCTAAGTACCTACTTAAACATTAAAAAGACTCGTACGTCGTACTACTACAGATTACACTGTAGAGTGCAGTTTCTGGTTCACCCAAGACTGAGACAGAGATACATAAGACAGAGCATTCTGTGTTTACATGGTAAGTAGGGTACGTTTTTGTAGTTTAGGTAAATATAATTTTTTAAACCAGTTCAAGGCACTTAATTGTTCTGGATATTATATATACTTAAACTGTAACTGTAAAATAATAATGTACTTGATTAGACTTTTGGGACACACTTCGAAGCAATAGTTAAACGTTTCTTTTTGTCAGCGTTTCATGAGGGTTCCGTTTACTCCCTGTATGTATAATTGTATACCGATTCATACGTATGTAGTAAAAGCGGTTATTTCAATATTACAAACAGACAATACAATTTTATTTATATGTATAGATATGACAATACAACAATCCATCGTGGTTAGTTAAATTAGAAAATAACATTGTAGTAAATAGGTACCTACTTACTTTTGCGTGTCCTGCTTCTCATCTTCGTGTGTTTCATTGTCTTGGAAGTTACTTTCTTTGGTGTTATCGCTATCGTTACTTTCTCTAGTTCCGGTTTCCCTTGCAGTTTCATCATGTTTGTTTTCAGGTTTGGTTTCGTTAAGATTTTCTGAAGAATGTAGGTCTACTACTTTCTCAACTACTTCTTCTAGTTTAGGCGGACTTTCTTCTTCGTGTAGTGTAGCACTAGATACCGTTTTATTAAGTATCATCTCATTACTATGTCTGTCTTCTTGATTGTCTGAAATATGTAGTAATAACAGATAATTAACAACTTTGGTACTTGAGTTTGCACGTTTACTAGTTCTACCTATTAGATAATTATGGAAAGTTATATTGCGTCTCGTGTTAGTTGTTATCAAAACGGTCCCAGTGGTGACACATAACATTTCACCCAAGGTGCTTTAAACATGAATTGTGGACAAACAAGGTCACTGTCTGTCATCAGACTTGATATGCAACTAATATAAAACTAAAAACTTCTGTCGCTATGTTATGTTAAACTTGCACTTATAATGTAGACATGCATGAACTGCACGCCTTATCACACGATACCAAGCGCAGGTGGGTGGGTATAGCTTTTTATTTTCTTGAAGGAAAACGGATAAAAGGCCAATGGCCGGTTCACCACAAGAACTTATACCTACCATTTCGTATATGTCAAATTAGGTAATAAGTAAGAAATCTACTTAGGTATATAAACACCTAACTAGTTTTATCTTTGAGACCACTGATCTGATATAAAAGTGCCTAGGTATTAGATTGCACTTGAAATTAAATGCTGAGACAAACACTACTAAACACTAATGGGCCTAAAAATAAATTACCTTAGATTATGTTCGTATACTTGTATCATAATATCGATGCCTAACCAACACATAAACAGATGCCAAGTCAAAGGCATTAAGGGTAACAATACCTTTTTCTGTTTTTAAACTAGAAGTAGATATATTTCTAACTACATTTATATTATGTTCTGATAAATTATCACACGATGGAAGCTTTGTTTCATCTGTATCATTTCCGGATCTATAAATTATTTCTTCTGTATCCCGAGACTGGACTTCACTTGCATCTTCTTCAAATTGAATGCTTTTTTCTGAAAGAATATAAATACCATAAGTACATTTTAACAAATACAAAAGGCACATAATGTCCAATATTTTTTTAAAATAAACAATAGTTTGTAAAACTTTTTCACAGATTGAATGAAAGGCTTCAGTCAAATCAACAAATTAATAATAAGAATTACCTGGCCTTTCCTTCATTCCCACACTTATTATAAATTTCGTGATACCTATCTGATTGTTCCTTTTTATGGAATAGGAGGCAAACGAGCAGACGAATCACCTGATGGTGAGCGATCAGCGCCGCCTATGGACAGCCGCAACACCAGAGGTGGTGTCATAGGTGCTTTGCCGGCCTTTTAAAAAGGAATACGCTCTTTCCTGAATGTTTGAAGACCGTAGCAGTTCGGAAATACCACTGACTACAGATCATTCTACAGTTTTGCTACGCGAGCAAGAAAACCACGAGAAAAGCTCATAGTTGTAGCCTGCCAACAATCTATATGATGGGGATGAGATTGCCGGCGTGTGGGTCGATGGCAGAAAGATGCGGCAGGTATCATCCCAAATAATCCCCAGAAGAGCACTCCCCGTGGTATAAACGATAGAAGATGCACAACGAAGCTACATTTCTACGCATTGCCAAAGTGTCTGTCGTGATAAAAACAGGAAGGTATTAGATGATTTATTTCTAGTTTTATGGTTGTGGAGGATAGTTTTAAAAGATTTACCTAGTTTACTAGTTTAGTTAAATATGTGCATTAGAAAAATACATAGATACTTTCATAATATTATCTACATGGTGTGAGCATACAACGTATTTAAATATAATTATGATATCTATAAATGGAACTTTTAACAACTACTAAGTTGATACGATTTGCCTCAATGCTAGACGGGTTGCAATTACAAAGACCCGCAATTAATTTTCATTTGTTAGATATAGTCTGCCCCAACACCAAGTCCATTAAAGTAATACGCGACGTGATTAAGAAAAATGAGCATGCTTTACAACTATGGAAGGGGTTCCTCAAATGTCACATTACCATACCTACCTGATTTACTTGAGTTGACCATGTTTGGAGCACTGCTTGTACAGCCCATGATCGAGAGAGCGACAGAGAGCAACGTTAAGCAGCGTCCATCAGTTCGTATGCGAAACAGTGGAGAAAGAGCCTGAGTGGAAATTGGGCGCGATGTTGTTTGCTGTCTCGGGCGACGGCTGACCACCCGTCCGCAGCAACTCGGCTCGACTGACGGCTACACGGCTCCCCGAGATCGTATCGTGGCTACCTACCTATTATGGAAGGAGGCAGCCCGTTAAACTGACCTCGCACCCCCATCGCGTTTTTCCTATTAAACGAACATAGTACATTCTTTGACTCGCAAATGGTTTACTCAAAGACCTTTCTTCCGTTTAATTAATTTATAGAGTACCTATTAATTTTCCAATCATAATAATCTTTGGGAGTTCTCTTTGTGACAAAGGTCTTTAAAGTAACCAAATTCTTATAAGTGGTTATTTGAATAAATTACAATATTAAACCAACAAAAAGCTGAAACTGAAAAATCTTTTTTAATTGGCATTAATATTCTTTTAATTTAGGTACCTAGATGCTATGCTGATACCTGATACTAAGTTACTAACGAATAAGTTTTGGGTATCTACTTCTAGTAAACGTATACTTACTTATACTTTCCAAGTGTTCACGACACCGGAGACTCACCATTATTGTTCTTCAGGTTCAATCGGAGCGGGCGACTCTGTACTGTTATCAAAGTAAATTCTTGCGATGTGGATCTAAATTATGCTGTTTGATGTAGTCTGCCTTGGTGTCGAGTAGGTATATAATAATATACTATGTATAGGATACGCCAACAAAGTTACGAGGTACTATTCTGGTAGGTAGTTCGGTTACCCCAATCTTTCAGGCCTTCATACAAGCTTTCAATCATATTTGGCTACGAAGGTTCAATGCCATGAAATCACAATTTATTGGAATTTAATAGGCAAGTGTTAAAATAAAACTTAGTAGTCATGCTATTGAGTTAAAATCACCTAAATGAAGATTAATATTAGTGCGATGCTGTTCAAGGATCTGTATTTTAATCTAAATTACAGTTGAGTTATACCTACCCGTTGCGGTTTACCACATTAAAGGTATTGTAAGGTACTCTAAACAAGAGACCACTCCAATCTACTGTCGAATATTTTGTGTTTCAGAACTTTTTGTAAAAACGGTTTTCGTCTGAAACTCGTGGTCCTCAAATGTTAATAGTGGTCACCATTATACCATGGACTGGTGAATAGCTAACATGTAGGAATAATCTGTCCGTGCGGGTACTTAGCGCGACTGTGAACAATAAAATGGTATTGTTCGCAGTTTTACTATCAATACTCCAATCTAACTATAAATAGTTAACAAAGGTTTTTGTTTTTGTGGTAAAAAATTCAAAGTAGTGACGTCAAACTAGAGGCGTCATGCTTTCAGCTTTAACATGACTTGCGTTGTGAGCCATAATAAACCCTAGACACAACATAAATAGACAGATTGCATACCTAATAATAGATTCCACACGATACACTTACATTTAAATCAATAATTTGTTTGTATTTTGATAAATCTACATAATCATAGGCACTTATAATTTTATACGTTTGACTTTATTTTGGATTTATAGGATTTATTTATTTACTTTTGATTCATACATGAGAATTAAATTCTAAAAGCTATTGTCACTCAATGGGATTCGGATATCACAATTATTCCTGAGGTCTGTCTCGCACTTGCATCCTCCCTGAAATCGTCCCATTACTACCATTTGAGACTTCGTGTAGCCTACCGAATAATAAGCAAACAAAATATTGTTCATGCTTTCAGACTAGGTGGTACCAGTATTGTAGGTTTAGTACCAGGCGAGATAGTGGTCAAACCGCGGCCCATCAAATATAAACAAGTCATCATGTAAGAGCAACTATTGCACTGATAATAATATTAATAATGTCATCCCGATATCATAAACCATTTTTCTACCATTATTTTATTGCTACATTGCTACTGCGTTGCTGCACAAACATAGTGACTACATTGCTGCTACGTTACAACACACTTGTAGCGACCACACAGTGACTACATTACTGTTACATTGCTACACACTCGTAACGACTACGCAGTGACTACATCGCTGCTACGTTGTTACACAAAAATGTGACTACGTTTCAGCTACGCTGCAACACGCCCGTAGCGACTACACAGTGACTACATTGCTGCTACGTTGCTACACAAATGTAGCGACTACGCAGCGACTACATTGCTGCTACGTTGCTACACAGACGTAGCGACTACACAGTGACTATATTAGAGCTACGTTGCTATACAAATGTGTGACTACGTTTCTGCTACGCTGCAACACGCTCGTAGCGACTACACAGTGACTACATTGATCCTACGTTGCTACACACTCGTAGCGACTACATTGCTGCTACCTTGCTGCGCGTTGCTACACAAACGTAGCGACTACGCAATGACTACATTGCTTTTACATTCCTACACACTCGTAGCGTCTATATTGCTGCTACATTGCTACACAAACGTAGCGACTACACAGTGACTACATATATATTACTGTTGCTACACACTCGTAGCGACTACATTGCTGCTACTTTGCTACATAATCCTAGCGACTACACAGTGTCTATATTACTGCTACGTTGCTACAGAAACGTAGCGACTACGCAGCGACTACATTGCTGCTACGTTGTTACACAAAAATGTGACTACGTTTCTGCTACGCTGCAACACGCTCGTAGCGACTACACAGTGACTACATTGATCCTACGTTGCTACACACTCGTAGCGACTACATTGCTGCTACCTTGCTGCGCGTTGCTACACAAACGTAGCGACTACGCAATGACTACATTGCTTTTACATTCCTACACACTCGTAGCGTCTATATTGCTGCTACATTGCTACACAAACGTAGCGACTACACAGTGACTACATATATATTACTGTTACGTTGCTACACAAACGTGTGACTACGTTTCCGCTACGCTGCAATACGCTCGTAGCGACTACATTGCTGCTACGTTGCTACACAAACATAGCGACTACGCAGTGACTACATTGCTGTTACATTGCTACACAAACGTGTGACTACGTTTCTGCTACGCGCTCGTAGCGACTACACCACAGAACATATAAAGAAGGCTAGAAAGGAAATAGTTCCTGATTTGTATTAGAACACGCGTCGCCGTTTGTCCCCCACTCTTTAACTTTACTACAAGCAAGAGACCAATACCTACGCGGAAAATGCACACAAATAAACAACACGCACTAGGTTAAAAGATTTGTTATTGGTCGTCACACTGACGCAATCACTTCGTTTGACATACACTAATACAGGCGTAAAAAACTCATATATGGTAGGGGGAGCGAAAGGTCGATTATTGATATCGATAAAATTAATGGCATCTAGCTTCTTAATTTACATGTATTG